GACATATTTAAATATATTTGCCTAAGCTAATATACAATCATTACAGCAATATAACATGTGTTTGATTGTGGCTGCAGATACAATATTGCAGCGTAAACAACGTAAGCTACCAATTGTGTTACGTTTATACTTCAGCTGAATGCTATGTGCTGAGTCACAATGCCGGCTGATGTACAAAACTTTTACTCATTAAGTGAACTTATACGAAGATGTGATATATTTCATTGAATAAAGCATTTAATTTTCAGAAGTCGTTTGCTTGGCATGACATTCTAAATGTACCCCGACAATAAAGAATTGTAATTGAACTTTGAGTTGATAAAGCCAGACACTAACGCTTCATTAGCTGACTTGTTTCTTGTATCTTGTATCTTTACATTGTGATTCTTGTATTGAATATTCAGATAACACTAGTATGGCAATGCTGGTAAATATCAGGAGTAAATTGGTAGTTATACGCCACAATAGTAGTGATGATACTACACATTGTATCTACGTGTGCGTGAGTGAAGTTGGTTTAACACTACTTGACACTACCGACCGGGTCCAGGACATGAGTAGGCCAAAAGAAGGTCGCTACATGCTTTAATCAAGTTTATCAATGACCAAAGTCACCACAGGCTGCCTGAAAGATGTACATCACACCCCTCAGCTGCAGGGGAGTCAAGTGACACCAGTATCTCCCCTGTAGCATCAGAAGTAAGTGCCAGGGTCAATATTGATTCAGACACGTTACATGCTACGTCGTATGCACATTGTTTCATGAGGTCTTCGGCACGGTGCAAATATTGTCAAATTATGTACTGCGGACGACGAAACATGATATGTATTTAAAAATCAAATGTGTATAATGTACAGATAACACATTCGGAATTATGATAACTACATTAAAAGCATAATATTTTACTGTTAATAGTTGAACAATAAATTTCTTAAGGAAATGCCACTTAAAGACCCGAATAAATTTGTTATAAAAGCGACCAGGGCCAACATTAGCTCGATACTCTGGCAGATACAGATATCAACGCGGCCACATTGCATGTGAACATTGGATCAAGGAAACCTGTATTCGGTGTCCTGCGATCAACGACAAACTGACACAAGTAATCGTAACGGGGAGACTTGACGGTGTGCTAACTGAGTTGTCTCTACACTCACTGACATCACAACAAATCAACACCATGCTGTAACAGCAGTAACAACATCCAATCTGTGTCAGGCTCGATTGATGTCGTCTTGCAATAGCAAAACGGTTAATATCTGAATATTTGGTATCAATTAGAAGGAAATGGCTGACTTGGCTGGATTTCTGATATTATGTCGTTCTGTAACACTTGATATTGCAGGTACTAGCTGTACCAACAGTTACCACCATTAGTATTACAGCTACCATCAGCACCGTCAACATGCGTTACAAACTGAGGACCTGATCTGGTCATTCGGGACGAAGGGCATAAGCGACATAACTTTAACTTCAGTCATACAGATAACAGACCGAACTATGTGTTTCTGTTCCTGGGTTACAAACGTATAATCGAGGCAAAAATGAATGTAAGAATTACCTATGGGTTTGCCCGGTGTGTTTCCTACGAAAATGTGTCCGCTAAAACAAGGGAAACATTTCACAAGCTAACCAGCTGAACATATCTAAGGATAAGCTGACACAAGTAATCGTAATGGGGAGACTTAATGGTGCGCTAAATGAGTTGTCTCTACACACACTGACATCACAACAAATCAACACCATGCTGTGTCAAATTGTCAGAATATATAACAGCAGAAACAACCTCCAATCTGTGTCAGGAGCGATCTATGTTAGGATTATTCTGCTGGAATACAACAGATATATGGTATTAATATTTGGAAAGCAGAATAGAAATACCTGTGTTGGCAAAAGAGAAAATGAATGTCCTATGTGAACGTTTTTACAATTGTCAATCAAACTGACGATTTCTTATGACTATTCTGAAATAGTCACATAGTGTGTAACTGTATGTTGGCTATGCTTGGTTTGCTATATGTAAGACGTGCTAAATATGTAGACAGTGACACATTCCTTGTACCAATATATCATTAATTTACTTGTATATTTTCGACGCCAAGTAGGCAACTAATTTATCCATTTCAACTTCTTTATTAAAGTGTTATAGCGACGTTTCGGTATATATCCCATAATGTCTTGGTCAAGGTGTAAGAGATGCCCATCTAACAATTCATGCCCTAAGCATGTTGTCAGCAGTGTGACAAAAGTGTGTTGAAATGTTAACATACTGTTTTGATGTCAGTAGCAGGATGAGGTGTATTTGATGTTTACACGAGTTACAGGAGCCAATCAACACTGGATTAGAGCTTGTGGGGTTAAGCTGGTACTTTTCTAATTATTCTTCGATCAAATCGAGATTACCATTCGTCGGCAGCCTGTTTGCTTAGCTTTCTAATTTACCGGTACGGAACAACCAGCTTTGTTAAGCAAGCAATACCGAAACTGAACCAATTCTCCTTAACTGGCTTACCTGAAACCGCTTATCTCCCTTTACCATCCTTTCAGTTAGAGGATGAAGGTAAGTAAGATGGCGACAGTGGCGGCGGACTTTACTGCACGCAACAGTCTTAGTCCAATTTCTAAGAAGGCCGGCGTATTAATAAAAATGAAAAATCTTGTTCTTATTGTAATTGATAATTCTCTGTCGGAGACACTGCTCATAATACCTCTAGACGATTCCACAATCTGGCACACTCGAAGAAATAGTTTTTCCATATATTATTTATAATATGTTTCTCATTTTGTGCTTATACCTGCATGTTCATCGTGATACTGTGTATACTCACACATTTAGGACGATCCTCTTTTTGTGTAAATGTTGTTTTTGACACTGATAGGGTAATTCAAAGTTGTTTACCCTGACAACATACGTCGTCTTTGCCTTAATCATATTGATTCCACGGGTGTTTCATAACATCCATGAGTTAAACAGATCATGGCTTAAATCAAATGTAGTAATTGAATTAAATCCTCAGCACTTACAAGAGTCAATGCGCTATGCTCACTCGTTAAGGAAAATTACTGAACTTATTTGGAACATTGTATTTCTTTGAAAATATTTACTTCTTTTACAAGCTATGCATGTAATTGAATTAAATCATCAGCACTTCCAAGAATGGAATAGTGCTCTATGCTCAAGCGTTAAGGAAGATTACTTAACTTTCTTTGAAAACATCTACTTCGTTTAAAATATGTTCATGTCGTATTCCACTTGTAGAAACAGGTTCATGACATGATCTAGGATAGGGTAGGGAATCAATATTATGCTTTTACTGCTGTAGTGTGAATTTAAACATTTTGCCAGTATCTTCAGTGTATGTGAACTTAAAGGTTGTTTGTATTCCCACAGTGTACGTAAACGAATACTGTACATTATCTTAATGAGAATAACGGTTAACACTGTTGGGCACCCCTGAGGTGGATAATTCACATTCTCCAAACAGACAACCTGATCTTGATGGTGTACATGGTTTATCGCCACTGCTGTCATTTCCATACTTTATATTCCATTTTCACAATTTGGAGGTAAGCCCATTTTGTCAAGACCTGGACACATACCACCTTGGTTCCATGAGGTTACGTTCAGGATCATTAACCCAATACTCCACACGACCTACCCCCGGTGCATGGTAATTTTAACATCAATGCTTAGATGTTTTCTCTTCTGTCAACATTATTAGGAGCATGTTATATATTTTTCATACTCATTCGAGGTTCTCCTTTTTATCCTGCACGGAAATACACATCATTATATTAGGGACGAATCTGGAATTCCAGCCCACCTTTACACTAGGTCACGACATAGGCCCACGTCGATAAGCTGTCGCAATGATGTTTGTTGTTGCTACTGCTAAATCTGTGTGCCTGTTTATGTTTTGTCGTTTTTAATATGCCTTTGCGTGACTGACTGACTGACTGACTGAGTTTAGTTTTACGCCGCTTTTAGCAATATTCCAGCAATATCACGGCGGGGGACACCAGAAATGGGCTTAACACATTGTGCCCATGTGGGGAATCGAACCCGGGCCTTTGCGTGAACGGTTAGAGAAAGTGCTGATTTTGGTGCTTTTGAAATGATGGCTAATGTCCACAGGTGTTCACAATACCATGGTGTCCAGACAGGAAGGGGTAGGTTTTAAGCTGGTTCCAAGGTGACAACATTCTTTCTAACTTGTGCTGAAACTCTGAGGTTATTCTCATTGTCCCGGACGAAGTGTTTCTTAGATTCAGCATGATCAAATTTACTTCGTATAACTTTTGCCTGAAACATAATGAAGATGTAAAAGGTATTTTGTTTTCTTACAAAAAAAATTAATTATTTGAGAGAAGTATGTATACTGTGTTTTGAATGTAAGGTTTGGTTACCTACAGAAGTAACCATGCTAGATTGATTTTGAAACCTTGTTTTCTAAATTGATGGCAGGAGTCTGAATAAAGATTGCCAGTCCATGTATATAATATGAAGAATGTAAATATGTGTATAACGCAAGAAATGACATTGTTTGACAAGACTTTGTATATTTTTTGTCAAGAAGACACGTTTGACTAGGTGTCCGTGTGTAACAGGTACAGTACTGACACACGTTCTCTTTCCTTCTTAGAGCAAGGGCAAATACTTAAGTTCCTCGAACCAAACACTGCAGTTCGCACCTACTCCATCATTCAAATTGGAAGCAGACTGCACGATCTCATTAACCTGTACTGTCCATACAGTAAAGTGTTTGTTGTTGATTGCACTCTGAATGGGCTTATACACCACGAGCCTGGAGGGCGACGGATGCAAATTACAGAGATGAATAAATAACAAATGTACCAATCTGTATTTTTACTTGTATTTATTTTGTTTCTGAGATATCACTCCCAGTTCAGGTTTCACATCATGTATGTATTTGTATTATTCTTAAAGCATCATGAAACTAACATTAACACATAGCACTTTGTACATCAGTCTTCAGCATCACTGCAACAGTGATGAATCCACACTAAGCGACGTATGACCTCGAAGACCTCGAACCCAACTCTGACTGATATCCCTTGTAGAACCCGTCATTGACTGTTGTATGTGTGGATACAGGTAGGTGCAGGAACGGTCAGGTACATTTGAAGTGGGTGTGGGAGCTTGTGGTACGTATGTTCGTCTCAGGGACGAACTTGCCGTGGGAGAGCTGGAGAGAGGGGAGCCGGTGAGAGAGCTGTTGATGCTGCTGGGGTTGTAGTAGCCGGCTGATGGAGAGTAAACTGTAGGAGTTCCCATGGTCCAAGGAGTGGAATCAGGCTTACTCGATGTGCTGTAGGTCAGTCCGTTGGGTAAGGAGCCGAGACTGAGGGGGTTGAAACCTGTGTAAGGAGATGTGCCCCCATACAAACCGAATAATTGTCCATAAGAACTGGCAGGATGGAATGGAGGATCATCACGACGTTGCTTTTGTGCCGACTTGAAACGTTTGGAACGACGAAGGAAACTGCCGTTACCGAACATGTCCCCACAAGATGGATGCAGAGCCCACAGGTTACCCTTGCCTGGTTTCCCTGGAGGTCGGGGCACCTTGACGAAACAGTCATTGAGGGAGAGGTTGTGTCTGATGGAGTTCTGCCATCTCCGTTGGTTGTCTTGGTAGTAGGGAAATCTCTTGATGATGTAGTTGTAGATGTCGTTGAGAGTCATCATGCCTGTAGTGGAACTCTCGACGGCCATGGTGATGAGAGCCACGTATGAATAGGGAGGCTTCTTGTTGGAAAATTGTCTGTCTTGTTGCGAGAGCGTCGATGTTCCTGAGAAACTATCCAGATTGATGTCTCCGTTTGAAGATACCGATGACGAAGGAGAAGGGAGAATATTGTCATAATTTGGAGATGGTAGTTGAGTTTGGACAGACCCATGACTGATCTCTGATGTGACGTCTTCTCCTTCAGAAGTTTGAGGCATGACTGTAACGGAATGTTCAGAAGGTGTTGGGTGACCAGATGTCGTCTGCTGTCCAATACAAGGAGCCGTACTTGGCACATACTGAAACATGGATGGATTATACATGATTCCTGACTCAAGGTGCAGCAGGTGAAAAGGTATTATCTCAGCAGGCAGTTGAATGTTCCTCCCCATCTCCACGGCGAGGTTTATATGCCCCGTTCAGATAATCCCCTCGACACGCGCTTTACAGATCTCATTTGTTTCTAGAGTAGGCAACCATTGATACGTAAATTAGATTGATCTCAAACCTAGTAATTGGGATCTCAAATACATGGTACCTGTTATCTGCTCCGATTGGTTATGCACCAGATTTTAACTCCGCCTCCGCGTAAGTAGCTTTACAGTCAATGTACAGCTTTGAGTGTGTTGATAACGTTGACATAGAGAAAAAGTAAAAACAATACAACCACTGTAAGTGTGTTAATGGGTTAATGGCTGTAACATGGATTTTCAGGTTTGCAATATTATCGAAGAAGGTGTGGGGGAGTTATTTGTGGATGCCAACGTTTGAATCATGAGGAAGACCGGACGATTCGGACTACATTCTCAGAGCTCATATATGTCTATGTGTTGACGCAAAATGTTTGTTTTTTGTTGTTGTGGATATCAAAAGAAATTGCACCTTAAGACTAGTATTCATTGAAATGAAAAACAGACTATGAACGTGGCTGCATGTGTCATCCATATATATAAATAACATGACTTGGGGAGTCGAATTGCGTTTGTCATATCACAACAACGCTCTACCACGCCATCTAGAGTTGTCAGTATTGATCATCACGAAATACAAAATCAGTATTTGTCGAGGCGAGAATCTACTTGAATACTACACCTTGCAAAACATATGATAAGTTGGTGTGTGCAAAGACTTGCAAACTAAGGTATTGTTTTAGTTGATTGACATATTTAAATATATTTGCCTAAGCTAATATACAATCATTACAGCAATATAACATGTGTTTGATTGTGGCTGCAGATACAATATTGCAGCGTAAACAACGTAAGCTACCAATTGTGTTACGTTTATACTTCAGCTGAATGCTATGTGCTGAGTCACAATGCCGGCTGATGTACAAAACTTTTACTCACTCACTTGTCCACTCACAAATCTCCAGGATTATGGTGCAATGATTAAGTGAACATATACCAGGATGACATATGGCATATTTCATTGAATAAAGCATTTAATTTTCAGAAGTCGTTTGCTTGGCATGACATTCTAAATGTACCCCGACAATAAAGAATTGTAGTTGAACACTGAGTTGATAAAGCCAAACACTAACGCTTCATTAGCTGACTTGTTTCTTGTACCTTTATATTGTGATTCTTGTATTGAATATTCAGATAACACTAGTATGGCAATGCTGGTAAATATCAGGAGTAAATTGGTAGTTATACGCCACAATAGTAGTGATGATACTACACATTGTATCTACGTGTGCGTGAGTGAAGTTGGTTTAACACTACTTGACACTACCGACCGGGTCCAGTATATCAGTCAAGACTGACTTGTCTGAGTGGCATTTTAGAAGTTGAGACTTACGATATAGAACAATTTTTGATGGATAACAACTTCTTTATTTCGTGAGTGCGATGTTTCGATACGGATTCTTGTACCGTTGTCAAGCAAGAGTGACTAGTTTGTTGTTGGCGGTAGTCTGGGCAGTTCGTAAGGAGGAGAAGAGTTCTGGATCGAGGGTGGAGCTGAGGGAGGTGTGGAGGTCACTGATGGCGGACGTGGAAGTGGCCTGGATTTGGCGATGATGTCGGATGCGTTCAGTGAGGAGTTTTCACTCTTGATTGACAACGGTACAAGAATCTGTATCGAACCGTCGCACTCACGAAAAAGAGAAGTTGTTAGCCATCATAAAAAATTGTTCTATACAGTCAAGACTAGGTCGTTACATGCTCTAATTGAGTTTATAAATGACCAAAGTCACCACAGGCTGCCTGAAAGATGTACATCACACCCCTCAGCTGCAGGGGAGTCAAGTGACACCAGTATCTCCCCCGTAGCGACAGAAGTAAGTACCAGGGTCAATATTGATTCAGACACGTTACATGCTATGTCGATTCAACTTCCTTTTCATGAGGTCTTCGGCACGGTGCAAATATTGTCAAATTATGTACTGCGGACGACGAAACATGATATGAATTTATCCCAATTCACTCGGGAAATGCCAATGTGTATAATGTATTAGGAATTATGATAACCACATTAAAAACATAAGATTTTATTGTTAATAGTTGAATAAGAAATGCCACTCAAAGACCGAATAAATTTCTTATAAAAGCGACCAGGGCCAACATTAGCTCGATACTCTGGCAGATACAGACATCAACGCGGCCACATTGCATGTGAACATTGGATCAAGGAAACCTGTATTCGGTGTCCTGCGATCAACGACAAACTGACACAAGTAATCGTAACGGGGAGACTTGACGGTGTGCTAACTGAGTTGTCTCTACACTCACTGACATCACAACAAATCAACACCATGCTGTAACAGCAGTAACAACATCCAATCTGTGTCAGGCTCGATTGATGTCGTCTTGCAATAGCAAAACGGTTAATATCTGAATATTTGGTATCAATTAGAAGGAAATGGCTGACTTGGCTGGATTTCTGATATTATGTCGTTCTGTAACACTTGATATTGCAGGTACTAGCTGTACCAACAGTTACCACCATTAGTATTACAGCTACCATCAGCACCGTCAACATGCGTTACAAACTGAGGACCTGATCTGGTCATTCGGGACGAAGGGCATAAGCGACATAACTTTAACTTCAGTCATACAGATAACAGACCGAACTATGTGTTTCTGTTCCTGGGTTACAAACGTATAATCGAGGCAAAAATGAATGTAAGAATTACCTATGGGTTTGCCCGGTGTGTTTCCTACGAAAATGTGTCCGCTAAAACAAGGGAAACATTTCACAAGCTAACCAGCTGAACATATCTAAGGATAAGCTGACACAAGTAATCGTAACGGGGAGACCTAATGGTGCGCTAAATGAGTTGTCTCTACACACACTGACATCACAACAAACCAACACCATGCTGTGTCACATTGTCAGAACATATAACAGCAGAAACAACCTCCAATCTGTGTCAGGAGCGATCTATGTTAGGATTATTCTGCTGGAATACAACAGATATATGGTACTAGCATTTAGAAAGCAGAAAAGAAATACCTGTGTTGGCAAAAGAGAAAATGAATTTGTTATGTGAATGGTTTTTTTTATAATTATCTTTCAAATTGACGATTTCTTATGACTATTCTGAAATATTCACATAGTGTGTAACTGTGTGTTGGTTAAACCTGATTTGCTGCATATAAGAGGTGCTAAATATGTAGACAGTGACACATTCCTTGTGCCAATATATTACATATTTACTTGTATATATTCTACGCCAAGTGGCAACTAAATTATCCATTAAGCTTCTTTATTAGCGACGTGTCGGTACAGTTCCCATAATTTCTTGGTCAAGGTGTAAGAGAAGCCCATCTAACAATTCATGCCCTAAGCATGTTGTCAGCAGTATGACAAAAGTGTGTTAAAATGTTAACATACTGTTTTGATGTCAGTAGCAGGATGAGGTGTATTTGATGTTTACACGAGTTACAGGAGTCAATCAACACTGGATTAGAGCTTGTGGGGTTAAGCTGGTCCTTTTCTAATTATTCTTTGATCAAATCGAGATTACCATTCGTCGGCAGCCTGTTTGCTTAGCTTTCTAATTTACCGGTACGGAACAACCAGCTTTGTTAAGCAAGCAATGCCGAAACTGAACCAATTGGCCTGAATTGGCTTACCTGAAACCGCTTATCTCCCTTTACCATCCTCTTGGTGAGAGGATGAAGGTAAGTAAGATGGCGACAGTGGCGGCGGACTTTACTGCACGCGACAGTCTTAGTCCAATTTCAAAGAAGGCCGGCGTATTAGTAACAGTGACAAATGTTGTTAAAACTTTGTTCTTGTAATTGATAATTCTCTGTGGGAGGCACAGTACATAATACCTCTAGACGATTCCGCACTGCGGCACATCCTAAGATATCGTTTTTCCATATCTATTGTTTATTATATGTTTCTCATTTGATTGTGTTTCAGGACATCAATATGTTAAAGACTTCATGGTTTATATCAAATGTAGTAATGGAATTAAATCATCAGCACATGCAAGAATGGAATTGTGCTCTATGCTTAAACGTTTAGGAAAATTGGTGAACTTATTTGAAAATATTTGCTTCTTTTAAAAGCTATTCTTGTCGTATCCCACCTGTAGAATAAAGTTCATGACATGTTCTAGGATAGGGTAGGGAATCAACATATGCTTTTACTGCTGTAGTGTGAATTTAAACATTTTGCCAGTATCTTCAGTGTATGTGAACTTAAAGGTTGTTTGTATTACCACAGTGTACGTAAACGAATACTGTACATTATCTTAATGAGAATAACGGTTAACACTGTTGGGCACCCCTGAGGTGGATAATTCACATTCTCCAAACAGACAACCTGATCTTGATGGTGTACATGGTTTATCGCCACTGCTGTCATTTCCATACTTTATATTCCATTTTCACAATTTGGAGGTAAGCCCATTTTGTCAAGACCTGGACACATACCACCTTGGTTCCATGAGGTTACGTTCAGAATCATTAACCCAATACTCCACACGACCTACCCCCGGTGCTTGATAATTTTAACATCAATGCTTAGATGTTCCCTCTTCTGTCAACATTATTAGGAGCATTTTAAACATTTTTATACTCATTCGTGGTTCTCCTGTTTATCCTGCATGGAAATACACATCATTATATTAGGGACGAATCTGGAATTCCAGCCCACCTTTACACTAGGTCACGACATAGGCCCACGTCGATAAGCTGTCGCACTGATGTTTGTTGTTGTTGTTGTTGCTAAATCTGTGTGCCTGTTTATGTTTTGTCGTTTCTGCCTTTGTGTGAACGGTAAGGGAAAATGCTGATGTTGGTGCTTTTGAAATGATGGCTAATGTTCACAGGTGTCCACAATTGCTGAAACCAATTGTCCAGACAGGAAAGGGGAGGTTTTAAGCTTGTTACAAGGTGAAAAAACATCGTTTGTAACTTATGCTGAAACACTG